ATATCGTCAATGAAGACCACCACAAATTGATCCAAATATGGTCAGAACACCCGATTCATCAAATCCATAAAAGTTGCAGGAGCGTTCGTCAAACCAAAAGGCATCACTAAAAATTCATAATGACCATATCTAGTGCGAATGGCCGTTTTTGCAACATCAGATCATTTAACTTTCAATTGATAATACCCCGAACGAAGATCAATCTTAGAGAATACAGTAGCTCCTCGCAATTGATCAAATAAGTCATCAATCCTGGGTAATGGGTATTTATTCTTGACCGTCATCTTGTTCAATTTCCGATAGTCAATACACAATCTTAGCGACCCATCCTTTTTTCACGAATAGAACTGGAGCTCCCCATGGTGAAGTACTATGTCGGATAAATCCTCGATCGAATAATTCTTGCAATTGGACTTTCAACTCCTTATGTTCCTTTGGAGCCATACGATAAGGTGCCATAGAAATAGGTGAAGATCCTGGATAAGTCTCAATCTCGAACTCTACCTCTCTATCAGGAGGTAACCCAGGCAACTCCTCCGGAAAAACATCAGGAAACTCGCTAACTGTACGAATCTCCTCGATCGTGGACAATGCACCTTTGGTGTTCAAAATACAAGCAATGAAGGTCTCATATCCCTTCCGGATCATATGATCAATTTCCATCGCTGAAACTATATTGGAGAGATAACCACGCGTTCACCAATTAACACAACAGTCCGACCATCTGAAGTCTTCAGAGTAGCCCGTTTGTATTCGCAATCCAACTTTACCTTGTGTTTATTCAACCAATCCATTCCAAGAATTAGATCGAACTCCCCTAAAGGAAGTTCCATAAGATCAGCGAGAAAAATTTCTCCCTGAACCTCGAGAGGACAACGCCGAAATACTTTATTCACTAATACCGCTTGTCCTACTGGACTTGTAACTGTAACAGTATTTTCAGTGTTCTCGATTGGAATCTGAAGGTTTCGAGATACTGAGCTCGATACATAGGAGTGAGTGGAGCCATTGTCCAATAATGCAAAGTATGAGGTAGAATAAATAGTAAATGTACCTGCAATAACCTCAGGCTCATCTCTGTCATCACGACGTCTAGTTGCATAAAAAAGCTGGCTGTCTAGCCTCAGAAGCTGTTGGCCTCTATTTTGCTGAGGTCGGGCTCTACTGTCTGTCCTGGACGCTGATCCTCGAGTCTTTCCTTGACTACGATCTCTAATTGGGGTCTGTACTGTAGTCTGCGAACGCACAGGAGTTTGGGTAGTGGTCTGCTCAAATGAAACTAACTGAGGACAATCCCTCCGATAATGACCACTAGATCCACACTGATAGCAAAGACCCATCTTCTTACGACACTCTCCTGAGTGCTGTTTACCACAATACTCACAAAGGGGCCCATTATAATACGACGAGGAACCGCCTCGACTGACAGCTAAAGGTGAGGATGCTGCAGGCCTGAAACGTGTATTGTTTCTCTGAGGGGCTGAAGTACGAGTCCTCTTCCCGGACTGTGCTGATGACTCCATCGGGCCTGAAAATTTTTTAGATCGATCTTGATCAACACGCTCTCTACCAGAAGCTAAAACCTCCACCTCTTCCGCATCTTTGGCTCTGCCCACCAGCACATCAAATATCTCATCCTGATGGGTTACAACTTGCCTACGCAGCTCGTATCTGAGTCTAAGGGCAAATTTACGACATCGATCTCTCTCCATAGGTACCATACTGAATCCATACTTCAGCAACTTCAGGAACTCGATCTCATATTCAGAAACAGTCATGTCTCCTTAAACCAGGTCTTGAAACTGTTGTCGTCTCTAAGCTAAGTAGCGCTCTCCCAGAAAACGGCTCCGAAAGTGATCCTTAAAGAAATTCCAGGTCAAACGATCGGTAGGAACACTACTGGTCACTGACTCCCACCAAGTGTAGGCATTGCCATCTAACATCGCCACAACACCCTGATATCTCTTAGTTAAATCCAAACCCAACTGATCCATGCGTCTCTCTGTATCCTGGAGCCAATCCTCAGCTTCAGTAGGAGCTCCACCTATCTGTCCCCCAAAAGTTCTAACTCCATTGGCAATCAAAGTCTGCGAAATAAGAACCTCAGATACAACACCAGTAGCTCTGACTGCTCCCTGTATTAACTGCAGAAATTGTCTACCAAAATTCTCATCCAAAGCAACTCCGGTAGACTCTGACTCAATATCGGTCGCTCCTATTATCGGTGTAGTCATGCCAATACCAGCGGCAGAAGGTAGATCCGTTGGAGTCGTAGGAGCATGATCACCTATCGGAGGTGGGGGATCTACCCGTATCTCATCGATCGGATCTGCGAATCTAGCCACTCGACCTCGTCCACGGCTAGTTCGACGACTACGTCTAGCACTCATTTTGATGGATCTCAAGTTTACTACAGAAGATAAAACTTAGGGTTAGATAAGCACTTGGAGTCTCAAACATAGTTAAAATCTTAATAACTTTGTGACATGGCCTTAGTAACTCGTTTTGTAAAATATTTCAAAACCGTATTTTCAAAACCTTAATAACTTAGGGTAAAAAACCAAAAGCTCTGATACCAATAAATGTAACCCCCTAGACCCGGCCTATGCGTTTCGACTAAGTCTAGTGGATCACATTATGATTATTAAAGACATTTTTCGCAACCGTTATTCCATCAATATAAAATCACATTATAAATAACATGAAATTATTCTGGTACACCATCAGTAGTTCCCAAAATTATTTTCCATATAGCTTACTTTATGCACATAGCAAAAAGAAAGCCGACTTAAGGATAGGCTCTGAAGCTTGTATCCTTAAGCCCAAGTCAATAAGTCCATATAGCTTACCCTAAGCACACAGCAAAGGAAAGCCGACCTAATGAAACATCTTGGGGCCCTCAAGAGTCACATTAGGCCCAGTTAGCTTGATCAGAGCTATTCCATCGTAATTCAATTCCAAAATTCAATTGCACCGTGACATAAATTCCATAAATCAAAAAACATGGTAATCATATACCATTTCAAAACAAAAATTTGATAGCAGCCATATTCCATAAATTGTCACATTAAATTGGTGCATCCATAAAACAATAACCAATGAATTCGGTGTACCACATATTAAAACCAATAAAACAGTTCAATAATAAGTAGGGAACACACCTCGACAATAGATTCAAATAACAAATCTACTGATTGCTGGTTTCACCACGCTCTGCTACAGTTTTCGAACGGGTGAATACTGGAACACGTGGTTTAACTGATCTAGAAGAGCTGGGTCGAGCTGTCGAACGATCCGGAGAGTCTCTTGTACCTTCAAACAATAATATTTATCAGTCTCAAATCCTATTTAATTGTTCAAAGCTAAACTTCTTAAGTATACGCATTTTTCGGGTTTGACTATCAATTTGAGGTATTTCGAGTCTGAATTTGGCCAAACGGATTGCGGAATCGGAATCAGGGCGTCGAAAAACATAAAGTATGACTTTTCGAAAATTCAAATTCTTGGTCAAAGTCAAAGTCAACCACTTTGACCGTAGATTTGGAGACCTTCGGATTCGAATTTGACAAAACAGACCACGGAAACGGATTCGGCACGTCGAAAACTATCAGGATAGGTATACTCGGAAAAGATTAACGGTCGTTTAATGCTCGGTCAAAGCCATTCTAAGTTTTGGTCAAAGAAAGTCAACGGTCAACGGTCAACGGTCGGGTCGGGTCAACGGTCGGGTCGGGTCAGACCGGTCAAACCAGTTCAGACCGGTCAAACTGGTTCGAACCGGTTGAAACTGGTCAAACCGGTCAGAACCGGTTGAAAACCGGTTAAACCGGTTTCCAGCAGCCACTCGCCCTGCGGCGGCGCGTGTGGCGCGTGAGGCGTCCTCCGGGGCCCTAAAAATCCCGGAAAAATTTCTAAAAATTATTTTGAGCGATTTCAAGATACTTACAACGATCGGTTCAAATTTTTGAACGGCGGAGAGCTCGATTTCAAATCGGCCGAATCTTTGACTGCACCACCTCCTCACGCGCCGCCGTCTACGGCGGACAAGGTTGACACCGGTGAACTTGGAACGGCACAAGGAACACGATGGTGCGGGAGGTGTCGTAAACGGAGCAACGATCAGCGGTGAATTTAAGATTTCCTCGGCGATAGAGCTAACAAAACCGTCGCTACTTTGACTGGAAATTCCCGACGTTTGGCCGCGTTTCGCTTCAATTAATTTGAAGGGTTTGTTCCTCGCTCGATGATGAACACAACGGTGGTTTCAAAACAACGATCGGAATTCGGACGGCGTTTGGATCGGACTTGCAAATGGAGGTGTGAGAGGAAGAAAATTGAAGAAAAGCTTTTGTGTTTTCTGATTGAAATCAGAAAATACGTTAGTTATAACAAACTTGTCGACACTTTTAGGGGAAATTCAGGGCTTGGTCCCTGAATTTCCTTTACTTTGAAAATGGCATACAAGTTTTCATAAATTATTCTTTAGTCACTTAATTTCACCCATTTTCACAATTTACCTCCAATTTCAATTAAATATTATTTTGAAAATCGGGTTGTTACAGAACTCTTTTCCTCCTTCCGCTGATTAAGGAACTATTTTTCAAGTTTCTTAAATCATGAAGGGGGTTTTTAATGAGGCCTAATATTCTTATAAAAAAAATCTTATTACTCATTGCTTGTCATGTTTCACCTTTTTGGAATTTTGCTTGCCATGTTAGTTGCATTTTTCAAGTAAAATGTTTTCCTGTTCCAAAATGGAGTATCGGAAACTTAGTTGCAATTATATATGTCATATTTACGTAATGCTGTCATTAGTGTATTTGTTTTAGCATTTAGTTCACTATTTTTTGCTGAATTATCTTTTAAATGAAAGTGTGTTTAAATTGCTAATCAGTTGACTCGGCGTCCGAGTTGTCTATCCTTTACGTTTTTTATTCAAAACTTGTCTTTATTTATGACAACAATATTGTTGGTTGTGATTCTTTTCTTTACACTTGCAGAGAGATGATACAACATTGGCCCTTCTCGCAAAAAGTAGATGTGTATTGTTTCGGAATTGTCCTTTGGGAGCTTATAACTGGCATGCTTCCTTTCCAGAACATGACTGCAGTTCAGGCAGCATTTGCTGTGGTGAACTAGGGTGCCCAACCTGTTATTCCAAATGATTGTCTCCCTGTTCTGAGTGAGATCATGATCCGTTGCTGGGACGCTAACCCAGAAGTTCGTCCTCCCTTCACTGAGATTGTGAAGATGCTTGAGAATGCGGAAACTGAGATAATGACAACTGTTCGTAAGGCTCGTTTCAGGTGTTGTATGGCTCAACCAATGCCAATAGACTGATCCAGAATAAGAGTGAAGAACAGAAAGGATAAGAGGATATAAATGAAAATCAAAATAGCAGGTTTAAGAATCTAAATATAAGTTGGTGTATGTATCAGTACTTCTCTCTTTTTTTATCTTTCAAATCTTATTTTCTCCTTTGTTTTCAAATAGAAGAAGGTAAGGATTAAGACTGCTGTTTTTTTTATTTTGGTGAGTTGAACCAATGGTGTTGTAGCTTTAGTAGTAGTAAGAGGATCATAGATGTGAAGTGGTTTCTCTCTATAGTATATATATGTGTGTGCGCATGCAGTGCCTGCAATATCCGTTAACTCTTTGATTGTTTAAAACCAGGTTCTCAATTAGATCAACGTCTTATTGTGGTGTTTCTTTTCTTATTCACCTGGTGGTCACTGCACTGATTTGTTGTTAGGGATTTGATTCTTATTTTGTTTCCTAGAGTTTCGTTTTCAGTATCAGTATACTCTGCTCTCACTTATTGTTTTCCTTATTAAGCCATGATTCCTGAAAAGCATCAAGATACTTTACTCTTTGGTGGAGAGGGTGTGGTACTACAGGTGCAAGAAGCTCTGGTTATCTACCTTCCTGTCCACCATCTTCTATTGTATACAGTTGGCCATTGGGCCATTCTGCGCCATTTCCTTCTGATGTTGCATTGGAGCTTACTGTCATGCTTATCAAATCAAAAGTGCATGGATATGGAACCCAAGAGGCAATTGCACGTGTAATTTATCTTATACCAGTGACATCCCTTTTCTACTACTTTTATCTGACTGCTTTTGTTAAGTTTTGCTGACGGGGCTCTGTCTAGCTGTTGGCAAACTGAGCTCCTACTTTTTAATATCGGTGTCCAACACGTATCTAGACACAAGTATAAAATATGATTCTTAGAGATGCCTTAAAAATTAGAAAGATAGAGGATACCCTCGTAAAAAAATATGCCATCTCTAATACTCATCTTAAATGAGTCACATGGTTGACAAATGATTTGCTCCATCATGTAGTCGGTGTTGTAAAGGGCACAAGATTGTTGTTCTTTAGGTGTTAAAACCATTATATTGCTTGAGGCGCAGGTGTAAAAAGAGCGTGCATGAATGAAGTAAAAAGCAACTATATGTCTCGTATACTTGTTCGATTTCCATGTTTATGCCTAAGATTAACTTAAGACGTGCAATCTGCTAATAAATTCTAAAGGATATAATTGTGTTTGCATTAAAAAAAAGGGATATTTTTGTCTTGATGGAGAAACCAGCTGACACTCGATTTCTGAAGCCAATGTATCTGTTCTTGGTATCTTTTGTTATACGAAGAGATTGGAGCCTTCTTGAATATGATGTTGTAGGTTAGCAAGTTGAGATTCCAAAAACTAATTTGCTCTATTGTCGTAATGATCTCTTTAAAGCTTGACTTTATTATCTAGATGGTTAGTCTCGAATATATAGGAATGAAACATGAGCTAGACCCGGAGAGTATTCTCTCAGAACAAATGAGCTAGAGACCCGTAGCGTATTCTCTCCGAACAAATGAGCTACAGACCAGGAGCGCATTCTGTCAAAAGTCGGTGGTTCGTCTTAGGCCCTAGCTTAGCATTTCAATTTTGGCAGTTCGCACATAGACAATAAAACCCTTGCATTTAAACCTGTGTTAGGTTCGATGCTTGCAAGTATATACCGAAACCCTTGAATCCTTTGGACATATCTTAGAGCCATTCCACAGGAGAGGTTAACCTTTTGAAGCGTCCTGAAATTAAATTCAAGAGATAAAGATGATAAGTATGTGATAGGAGATTGCGTGTCACCAATCCCAAATCTACAGATATCTTGGGAAGATCAGGGCTTGGAGCAACAGTCAATCTACTTAATGCATGTGAGCAAGCAAGGAGGAACATTGATGCTTGCTTGCTTATATCATGACAGTCAACAACCGACCTGCCCATTTGCAGAGTTACTTTCTTTAAGATTTTTTGTCTTAATGCTCGCCTTATTCTAATACATGTCTCAAAGTCGAACATACAACAGCGAACAATTAGTCAAGTGAGCAAAGTGAAAATTGTGCTAGCAAAAACCATCCAACTTACAAAGACAGAACAGTAATAAGATTCCTTCGATTCTCTATCCATTGAACACCTTATCAAACTTCAAATAAAATAACCCCAAAATAGCATGGGATGAAGCACTGCTCTATCATGTCATCACGGAGCAATCCTTTGAGGGTCACGAGGGAAAAGTGAAGTTTTACGAATATTACCCAGAGCGCAGAAAAGCATCACCACACGCTCCAATCCCACTCCAAACCCACCGTGTGGAGCACCATATCTGTACAAGTGCAGAAGTATTAAGAACTCTAAGCTATTAAATTCTGTTAACACCAAGAAAAGCCTCAGCAGTAGATACTATTTAAACATTGACAAACAATGATAACCACTGCTCATACTTTATCGGATCAAACGTTTAGTCAATACAGATTCACTATTGAAACTTACCACTTGAAGGAAAGTAAGGTCCTAGAGAAAGTGGCGATTTTTTACTACCTGAAAGAATCAATATAGGTTGAGATTGAATTGACATCAATTCCACATGCCTGTACACGTTCTGCCAAAAGTTCTGGTACGTGGACACGCTGGCCTCCTGAAATTATCTCCTCACCTAAAGGAAAGGAAACAGTTAAACAAGTTTCATTTTAAACAAGTTTCATTAATGCCATTACCATATATAAGTATCAAGAGAATAACAATATAAAAAATAGAGAGATTCCTAAGTTTAAGATCACACAAGGGGACAAAAAGAAAGAATTAGCAACAAATGTAAGCCCATTAGGAAAAGGGACAGACAAAAAGAAAGAGAGAATTTGCTTGTAGTTCATTTCAAATTTCATTTCACATTTTCATTCATTTACATAGGACATGATTCTGACATGATAGTTAACAATTTCAGTCCATTTTTGAAACCATTTGTACCAATGAAACTAAAATCCTCGCATGAAACCTTGTCAGGAGAATATCAGACATACAAAAATTCAGAAACCATATAAAGGGATTTTTTAAAAATATATATTTAAAAGAGACTAAAATGTCTAACAAAAACATGCTTAAGCAGAACAAAAGTAGCCACACACAGAGAGAGAAATAGATCAAGATGAATAAAGAGAACCAAAAAAGGAAATATTGATCTAATTGATTACCTCGAATGAAGACATGAAATGAATTACTATAAAGGGCATTATCATAGCAAGGCATGGTGTAGAATGGCCTCACAGCCAAAGGATAGCGATGCAGAATATAAAATTCAGTGTCATACCTATAAGAAAACGTTTTAAAATCAAATTAGAAAATCACATTCAGTAAAAGAAAACAGCAGCAGAACAAAATGTACAAGAAAGGGAAAAAGTTATAAACCTTCTCCAAACTAGCTGGCCCAGTTTTCTCTTGCTTCTGTATTAAGGCCCCCAAGAGGCTCAACTTCCACACCAGCATCCTGAACAAACACACGAAAATTGGGAGATGATGAACTAGAAACAATATCAGCCAAAAAAAAGACAACCCTTTTGTTAGAGTATGCCCAAAGACCAATCATATGATGATTGTAATAATACTTTTATTTACCGATTTTATTAAATAAAGACATTGCCGCTATTATTTTCAGTATATATGTGTTTAACATAAACTGGAAGATAATAAAGTCCATATAATGACATAATTGTTGTAGACTAATTTTCATTTTACTTTTATTATTACTTTTATTATTATTATTATTATATTTTATTTTTTATTATTTATTATTATTAAATATATATTACAGGCCCAAATACATTAAATCCCGGAGGCCCAATACAAGAACCCAGGCCTAGTTTATAAGCCCAACCTGGTCCAGGCCCCAAGACGACCCAAACCCTTCTAGGTTTGTATCATCTCTGCTAGGGTTTCTAAACCCTAGCCCTAGTCGCCTCCTCCAAGCTCCCAGCCGTCGCTGCTTCCAGAAATCCTGTCGACACTGCTGCCAGAAACACTCCGACACTGCGCCATGACGCCACCTTCAATCGAAGCCCTCCAGAAGGCCAGCTGCCCCTCAACACGTGAGCTCTATGGTGACTCACCTAGGCAACCTCTTGGGACTGGTCCGATGAGCATCTCGGTGGAGGCTATAAAGCCATCACCAAACCTGCAAAATAAAAAAGAGGGAGGACAACAAAAACCAACACGAAACTGAGCAAGAACTACAGCCACCGAGAGCAAATCAACACCAACACAACAACATTCGAAAACCATCAACCAACCGAAAAACAAAACGAAGAAGATAAGAACTTACCATAGCCCAAAAGTCGTCTGAAATCACTGAATTTCGAAGGTAAAATTTTAGATCTACAGAGTTCAGGGAAATTTTAAAGAAAAGGGAGGTTGGATTCGGCTTTAGGTTGGTGAGATCTACAAATTGGGGTATTTTTGTAATTTTCAGCCACTGTTCATGGTGGCTGGTGGCGGTGGTCGGTGCCAGAAACGGTGGCAGGCCAGAACTCGGCGAGAGAATTGAAGAGAGAAGGGAGAGGAGAGAGAAGCCAAAATGAAAAAAATGAGAGAAATGGCTAAAGAGAGCCGGTTTAAAGGGTATTAATACCCTCATCAAAACGACGCTGTTTTGATGAGGGGTGCTTGTGTAATTTCACACATGGGAAAACCCTCTCTGCAGTACTCCCAAATTTGTAGCTTTTACATTTTAGTCACTGGATTTGACTTTCTGTGCATTTCAATTTGGTTTTTAAATTTTGTTTTATTTATAATTTAATCATTGCCTGTTTGAGGGTGCTTGTGTAATTTCACATGGGAACCCCTCTGGCAGTACTCCCAAATTTGTAGCTTTTACTTTTAGTCACTGGATTTGACTTTCTGTGCATTTCAATTTGGTTTTTAAATTTTGTTTTATTTATAATTTAATCATTGCCTGTTTATTTATATATTTAGGGTAAATAACTGATTTAGTCCCTTATAATTTAATTAATTTTATTTTAATCCCGAATAATTAATTAAGGCTAAATTACACAGTTAGAGCCTAAATCTCAGAATACTTCGAATTATGTCCATAAATTTAGATATTTTACATTTTAATCCTATAGTTTTTAATTTTATTTATTTTAGTCACAATTTAATTGCAATTTATTCTTATTATTATCTTTTTTCAATATGTTTAATTTAATATTTTAAATATTATTTATTCATATATATATATATATATATATATATATGATTAAATAAAAATGTTTATTTATTTTAAATATTATGAAAAGGGATGTCTTAACGTAACTAGAAGTCCTATTCCAATATTTTTAAATAAATAAATATCTTATTATACATATATAATTATTTTAGTTCTATTCAAATTATTATATTTTTTATTTTATATTTATTTAATTTTAGTCATATTAATATATGTATATTAATAAGTATTATTTAATTAATTTCACCAATTAATTAAATAATAATACTTATATATTTTCAATTACTAAGGAAAGACAATCTTAAAACAACTAGACGTCCTATTCCGGTATTTTAAAAATAAATAAATATCCTACTTATAAATATATATACATATATATATATTTACTTCATTATTTTTAGGAAAATTATTATATTCTTATTAATATTTATTTATTAATATTAAAGAAAAGGTAGTCTTAAAACAACTAGATGCCATTTTCTAATATTTTTAAATAAATAAATACTTTATTTATAATTCATTTATAAAAATTATTTTAATATTTTTCTTCCTTATTATCCAATTGAATATGAAAAGATCATAAATTAAATTTAAATTAGAATTCTTAAATTCTATTATTAAAGACAATTTATAATCTACAGGGACCAATTTTGGGCGTTGCGGGGGTGCTAATCATTCCCCAAATGTAACAGACCATGAATCCCTTTTTATTATTAAAAAGAACAATTTTTTAGTTAAATGTAGACCGATGTATCTTTTAACTAATGTTTTCTTAAAAACTCTTTTAAAAGATGAGTTTTTAGGTATTCAACCTACCTAACCCAAAAGGTTGATGGTGACTCCCAAAACAATTCAATAAAAACCATTTATCCACATTATTTTTCCGGCCAAGTAAAATTTCGTGCCCGGGCGAAAACCGATTATGAGAATTGTTATTATTAAAATATCTCTAGTCAAGTATTATTATGGGCATGGACAATAATAATATGCTTAAGACTAACATGTTATTGATTGATGACAACGAGTTGTCATTGACATAGAGATGTCAGAATTGATACATGATTATATTGTTAGAGAACAATGTATTGGATTGACCCACCATGAGCATATGTCTTGGATTATTATGTGACAGTCAAAACATTGCTCATGGTGATGACTATATGTATGATCCCTCATACTTGAGATCAATATTATCCCAACATATATTGTTGTATGTTTTGATACAGCTAAACAAGCTCCATAATTGGTTGCTCTATAAAGACTGTTATTGAATATATCTCGATATATGTAGTAGGTGTGTATGATTAAGATAGGATTTGTCCTTCCTACATAATAGGAAATATATCACATGCCACTTGATTGAGTAAGACTAGAAACGCATGGCCATGCTTGATAAGTTGATATGAGATATCATAACTATTCATTAATTAAGTCTACTCTAGATATCAAGAAATAATAGATGGGCTTACAGTGTGACTATTCCAAAACTTGTGCCTATTCTAGATATAATGACATAAGGATGTAATACATAATGAGTTAATCACCAAGATGATATGTCGAATCATATTTTCTTGTAACTTAGGTGACAATGATATATTGCTAGATGTCACTCATTGTATGTAATATTAGAATTGTTCTAATAATTACTGCTAACGTTTACAAGAACCTACAGGGTCCACACCTAGGATTGAAACGAACAAAGATGTACAATTTGTTGTGTGTTACTAAAATATATCTAGAGTTAATTAAGTATGTTTTAATAATCCCGAATATTTAATTTTAATTAATTAAATATAGATTTAAATAATTTGAAATAATAAATCCCTAATATGATTAGGGTAACTTGGATATAAAGGATTATTAAATTCTAATTAATTAAATATAGATTTAATTAATTTAAAATAATAAAACCCTAATATGATTAGGGTAACTTGGCTATAAAGGGTGTGTTAGGTCTAGCAGCCGTTTTTAGAGAAAACACACAAAACCTTCAGCCATTTTCTCTCAAACGATTTTGGGGGAAAACAAAATTGCTCTCAATCGGGTGAACTGAGTAGAGGCCGAGACGTGATTTCGTAGGCTTACGATTTGAACCGATCTACACCGCCAGTTCACTGTCTCCTTGCTGTTTTTTTCAAGGAACCTGCTGTAAGTATCTGTATCTTTCCTCCCGATTTTAGTTTTCATACTTGGATCGCTGTGAGACCGTTTTGTTTTTCCGCTGCCAGGGTGTCGACGGTCCAACAGTGGTATAGAGCCACTTGTACGATCTGAATTTGGGTTAAATTTTTGGTTGATGCGATATGTATGAGATGCATGTTCTAGTTTTTATCGATTTCGTAAATATGTGATATCACTGTTCGAATCGATAACCGCAACGATTAATATGTTAATTTGTTAATATATTTTTCAATCAATTTGTTGCTGGATGATCTATGGGAGTGCGATAGCAGATCACGTTTGGAAGTGGAATAATGGTTGTTCTGATACAGAAAACCTTCAGGATTGAAAATCCCAAAAGCATGATTCTGTTGATAATTGTTATCAAATCGTGAAGTTTTTAATGGAAACAGAAGTACTATTTTTCAAAAAAATCCCACCAATCGTATCGCGATGGCCTAAGCGCGCTAGGGGCTTCGCCCCTAGACCCTCATCAGCAGTACAAATTGAAGGCCCATATTAATTTTTTTTGAACAAAGGCGTAAGAACGTGTTTATATATATATAATATGTTTGTTTTGTACGGTGTTTGATATGCATGGTTATAGCCCTTGTTCACCTTATAATGGTTTAATTTGAAATACGGTCTACGAGCCGTGCCTTTCTATATCTCTTTTGTATTTCTCTTCTCATATTACTCCCTCATATGTAAAACGAGTTTCTTTTAAAATTGTAAACCTATATAGATTCACAAGGAGCAAAAGAATGGAGAGAAGATGTCTAGAGAGCAGTCTTAGGCTTTAGGGTTTTTGGTTCTTCTATTAGCTTGGGATAGGTCACCTTAGTCATTGTTTTGGGCTATAACCATTGCATCTTATTTATTGTTATATTTGTTATGTATGTAATGCATCAAATGATAAAATACGAATAAATAATGATGAGATCAGTAAGGGCCTAATATTAAAACGAACAATGATGAGATAATTACGTAAATCCCTCTTTATAATCGAAGTTAACTTAACCATCCAATATTTACCCTCGTTAAGGCTTTGATCGATCTTGTGTGGGCTTTGCCAAAGCATTGGCACATAAATCTATCTTGGTTAA